ATATATATAAAATCTATACACATCTATTACAAGAACGAAAAACCCATATCTTTACCCATCAAACGATTTTTCTATCTGAAGTATTTATTCTATTTATTTATTCATTCATTTTTTCATAATAAATATATATCCTTATACCTTGTATCAAAACTTTTTCAAAAATTGTCAATTATTTATCGTTATTTTTAAATATTTATTATATTATAATTTTTCGTGTATACATGCGAATGAATAAAATACATATCGTGTATATATACGGGTGAACAAATCGCGACATTGTATACTTCATTTAAAAATTCTTTGCACATATATTTTTCAAAATATAATTTATAATCAAAATATATATAATACAAAGACTCTCGAAGAGCAAATAATGGATGTACATACGTACAATATATTGTACTAAGAAATTAAAAACAACTCACAACAATTTTAATAAATTAAAGATCATAAAAATAATACACATTAATTAAGAAGTCGTGAATCGTACAGAAAATAAAAACGCAAAATACAAAAAAAAAAATGCCAACATTTCTGTCCTAGACTGGACTCTTCACGGTGGTATAGTATTATAGAATTGTAAAATAGAAAGAGTGAAGAAGTAAAAATGTAGAATACAAACGATGAAAATGTAAAAAATGTCTAATTGATTGATTGTAATGCTTGTGAATCATTCCAAAAGTACGTCAAAATCAAAATTTATCTATTCAAAATCGATAGCATAATGTGTATATTTATAATACATGTCTTATGATCGCGAAATTATATTGTATGGGCGAAATCGTTTATAGATTGTAAAAATTTGCAGAGCAAGTCTATCCTTCCGTGTGTAAATGCGTGTGCGTTCGCCTCGTTTGCCTCGCATCGTGCTTTACGAGAGTAGGGAGAGATCTGTTATTGATCCTGGCCTCCTCACGCGCCGGTGCTCTCCCTCTACGGCAAGAGCTCGCGACATAGTGAGAGTCTCTCTCGTTGGCAGCCCTTGTCGCGTAATATATAGTGACGATGAACGTCTAAGAGGGAGAGAAAATCGCCGGGAAGCAGCGTGGCTGCGCGGCGAGCAGTGCCGAAGCGAAGAGCACCGATGTAGCCGAACACAACCGAGGTCGCGAACGTCGACCGAGCGAGTCTCTCTATCTCTCTCTCTCTCCTTCTATCTCACACACACTTTCTCTTTCTCTCTCTCTCTCTCTCTTATACGCGCGTTCTCTTTTCACTCGGCGCTCAGCTCCAATATTTCAGTGTATGCACATCGGCCGGCCGGCGTGCATAGTCTCTGTTAATAGTGTTGTGTTTTTGGAGCAAATGATTTTCGCGTAGAATATTACTTTTCTATTGTGCTATTTTTATCAACATATATACGAAGCGGCTGCCTGTGTGTGCCAAATTTAACGATCAGACAACGTCGTGCTCGTGCCTTGAGCAGCGCCGGGCCCCAGGGCCCGGTCGCTCTTATTTCCGCCCAGATCGACCCCGGGAAGCACGCAGTGATGGAGCTCGCAGGCTCGTCTCAAAGAAGAACCGACCGCGATCTCTGTACGAGCGTTAACTATCGACAACAGTTTGCCTTATTAATAGTCATTGCGAGTCATTGTACAAGAGTCACTACCTCTATCGACGGAGGTATATCTTTGAAAAAAATAGGGACGAGATAGAATACTAGAAAAGAAAAAAGGAGGAAGTGAGAGAGAGAGAGAGAGAGAGAGAGAGAGAGAGAGAGCGAGAAAGAGAGAGGAGAGATAGAGAATGATATACAAAACGTCATCGTATCAAAGGGTCAAGTCGTGTCGAAATGGTATTGTGAGACAGCAAGTTAAAAATCCAGGGTAGAGCAATTTAAGAGTATCTGAAAAAAACACGAGTAATTATAGATTCGATTGTTATGTACGAAATTGGTATAAAATATATAGTAAAATACATAGTACACTTTATTTAGTTATCACTCTTTAATCATTTGCTACTTGCGCTATAATTATTCTTATACAGAACGCAATTATAGAAATGAGAGTTAATCATAAATAAAGAAATAGAGAAAAAGATATATATATA